GGGGGCCCAGGGCTCCGCGGCAGCTGGGGGACCCGACGCATCTTACCCGGGCACATCTTACGCGGGGAATCTGAGGCCCGCGCGGCCACGCGCCAGACAGCGCTCGGGGATTTGCGCCCGTGTCCACCCCGCCTGGGGTCCCACGCGGGCCCTGGGCAGAACCAAAGCGAGGCTCCTCTGCCCCCTGGTGGACACTGGCGGCCGCGCCCTTCTGGGGCAGTCGCCCCCGCCCTGCCCCGCCGGGAAGCGGGTCCTGGCCCGGAAAAGCTGGAGGCGAAGCCTACAGCTGTAAACTTCTCCCAGCAGAAACGGCCCTGAAGAGCAGGACCACGGATGAAGCAACAGCTCCCTAGACATGGCACAAGCAACGGAAAATGGGAAAAAAGTAAATTGGATTTCAAAAAATTTCCACTTTTTGCCCCATGTGGTGGCTGGCGCACAGCAGTAATCCCAGCACTTGGGAGGCTGAGGAAGGAGGATCGCTGTGAATTTAAGGCCAGCCTGGGCTACATAGCAAGACCTTGTCTCAAAACCAAGGGAAAAATAAATAAGTAAACTTTTTGCCCGCAAGAACTCCATCAAGCCAGGTGTGGCGGTGCACCCCTGTCATTCGCGGAACTGTGGGAGGCTGAGGCAGAAGGGTCACACTGTACAGCACAGCCTGGACGACTTAGCAATTTAGTGAGACCGTCTCAAAAAAAATTTTTTTGTTGTTGTTTTGGTTTTGAGACAGGGTCTCACTATTCATTTCAGGCTGGACTTGGGCTCACTTTGTAGCCCAGGCTGGCCTCGAACTCTCAGTGATCCTCCCGCCTCAGCCTCCCGAGGGCTGGGATTACAGGCGTGGGCCACCACACCCCGCTAAAAAAAATTTTTTTAAAGGGCTGGGGATGGAGCTCCGTGTGAAGGCCCTGGGTTCAATCCCCAGCCCTGGGGGTGGAAAAGGCAAAGGATTTCAATAGATGAATCTCCCAAGAAGATATAAAAATAGCCAGTAAGCAACCGGAAGACAACCACCCAGAAGTTAAAATACAGCGGGGTTGCAGCTCAGCAGTACAGCTCGGGCCTCGCCCTTGGGGGCCCCAAGTTCCATCGCTAGCACCAAGAAGGAAGAGGAATCTCCATATTAATGACTACAGAGAAACACAAGCCCCAGAGAAACACAAGCAGGACCCAGTGGGCCCCACTTCCTATGTCCCGGGATGGCTAGCAGAGAAAGAAAACAACATAAAAATACTGGTGAGGGCCTGGAGTGGTGGGAACTGTCCCACACTGCGGTGAAACGGTGGGGGGTCAGGCTCAGGAAAAATCTGGCGTTTCATCCATGGGTAATATTGTGCTCAGGGTTTGCAAGGAAAACAATGCAGAATACATAAATTGTAGGATTATTTTAGAATAGTCACCCAAAGAGTTATAGACAGAGTACAGGAAATCTGCCCACACACTAAAGACCCAAAAATCCAGCCGAGGACCTAGATCCCACGGCAATGTCCTGCATGAGTCCAGCTGAAGTCCTGGAGCCCATGACAATGCCGTGTGCCTCTAGTCTGTTTCACGGATCTGCGCTGGGAAGGCCCAAAGGTCAGTGGTGGAAATTGGAAAGTCTGTGCCAGCGGGATGAAGGATCTGTGCTAGCAGGCTGAGGGATCTGCACTGGAGCCAGGAAGCGATACTCAAAGTAAGAACCAGAGCTCCCCCGAAAAGTACCACAGCCAGCCTCAGTGCCAACGAGGTCCTGAGCTCCTTTGACGATGAGAACAGCTGAGCTCATCTCAGGAAAGCCAGCACAACAAGCTCCTCCAGGAGAACCAAGAACCCCCTAGCGGCACCTCTTCTTCTCCAGTTCTCCTTTTTAGCTCGTTGGCAACGGTCCTCAGCGGGGCCTCCACGCCCAGCACCACGCTGGCTCAGTTCAGCTGGCGGTTACAAGTTGCCCACCAGCTGTCAATCCACCACAAGAAACAAGTTACCCTAGGACCCGTCCACCCTGTCTGTAGCCACATACTCAAGAAACGTGAAAACTGACATTGCCCCAGGGAGGAGGTGAGCACATTCTCAGCAGCACGTTCACAGCAGCTAAAACATGGAAGAAATGAGTCACCAGCACCGACAAGCAGATACAATACAGCACATCCAGCCAGGCGTGGTGGCCCACACCTCTAATCCCAGCACCAGGGGTGCTGAGGCAGGAGGATCACTTCACATTCGAGGCCAGCCTGGGCTACATAGCGAGACCCAGTCTCGCTGGGCGTGGTGATGCACACCTGTAATCCCAGCACTCGGAGGCTGAGGCAGGAGGATCGTTGTGAGTTCAAGACCAGCCTGGGATACAAAGTGAGCTCAAGACCAGCCTGAACTGCATAGTGAGACCCTGTCTCAAAAAAATACAAAAAAAAAAACAAAAAAACAACAAGAAGACCCAGTCTCCAAGGAAAAAAAATTTTAAATCAATGAATAAACAAGTTAAATTAAATAACAGCATTGATTACCCAAGTCTGCATATACCAAGTAAATGTGAATGTATGTCTGCAATATGCTGAAAACCCTTGGATTGCACAACTTATTATTTTGAGATGAGTCTCACTATTTCCCAGGCTGGTCTTAAACTCCTACGCTCAAGTGACCCTCCTGCTTCAGCCTCTTGAGTATCTGGGACTACAGATGCATCTCCCTGTGTCCAGTGGGTTGTACAATTCAGTGAATTGTATCTAAATTAAACTTTTTTTTTTTGTCTTTCTGAGATGGTCTTGCTACAAAATTCAGGCTGGCCTTGCGCTCACTTTGGCCTCAAACTTACAACAATCCTCCCGCTTCAGCCTCCAGAGTGCTGGGATTACAGGCGTGCACCACCACATCCAGCTTAAAACTAGTATAGTAGTACTGATGGGGGGGGTAGGGGCGCTGCTGGGGATGGATCCGGGGCCTGCCCATGCTAGGCAGGAGCTCAGCTACTGAGACACACACTCAGCCCCAGAGTCATGATTTTTAGGTTGTTGGAGTTTGTTCGCTTGTTTCTGTGAGACAGGGTCTCACTATGTAGCCCAGGCTGGCCTCTAACTCACAGTGATCTTCCTGCTTCAGCTTCTCCTAGGGCCAGGCCCAGATTTAAATTTTAATTTAAAAAGGAAAAATGCCAATGGGGCTCAAATATCACTTCCTCTAATGGCTGACCACCCACACACACAGCATACATCCCTTGTTATTTTCTCTTTCCCTTTATACCCTGTTATAAGTCATTTGTTTCTCAGACTGACAATGATTTGGATGATCTGCCCGGCATGGTGGCACATGCCTGTAATCCCAGCACTTGGGAGGCTGAGGCAGGAGGATTCATTGTGAATTCAAGGGCAGCCTGGCCTACGAAGTGAGCTCAAGGCCAGCCTGAACTGCATAGCGAGACCCTGTCTCAAAAAGACAAAAAAAAACAAAAAACAAAAAACTCATGATAGAAAACATATTTCTATTCCCAGTGGGAACCCCGTAGTCCAGAGATGGCAAAACTTTCAGAGATGAGTGCCCAAACTGCAACCCCAGACCCACTTATGTATGGCCAAGTGCCCACACGGCAATTAAAGCTAGATACAGAGGTCCGTAGTTTAGAAAACACAACTCATACATTATCACCTTGTGTCTCAAAAGCGAAACACCGTAAGAGCGCTTTCACCAATACAAACAGCTCTTTATTGAAAGGTAAGAGTTTGCATTTGTTGAGCTCTTCCACAGTTCATGCGGTCCTTGCTGTTGTACGCGCGCTGATCACTGGTGCTTCACACTCCCTCAGTGTGACAGCAATGCCCGCAGCACGCAGGTCACCTGTTCCTCTTATATCCGATTTGCTACACAGGAAGTTCCCGACTTAGGAGCAAGTCCATTCGGGAAGAACGCTAGAAAGTCGGATTCGTTCACAAGCCCAACACAGGGAGTGTCACACACCTGTGACACAAGTACACAGTGGACATTCTTTGGGCTTCCGGGCGCCCCCCCACCCACAGCACCGCGGCTGTGCCTCTTGCCTCCGGGCTCGGGCCCAGCACCGCGATGCCGCACACTGCAGCACCAAGCAGCGAGCACAGCCAGCACCACCGTGAGAGCAGCCGGCAGACACAGGAGCTACTTCCGGGATCTGTTCCCATCTACGAACGCTGGTAACACAGGCTCCAGTCATATCTGTGACAGCTCAGAACTTGAATGGTCGTAAGAGAGGGACTTACTGCCATTCAAAGCTGAAAACAGCTGCTCACAAGCATGAGACGACCCAAACAAAGTAAGAAAAGCAATCCCAAGTGCTTTCATCGACTTAAAATTATTCGGCAGCGAATTCCACACTTTAAGGATTTCACTTTCAGAACTGCCGACGGTGCTGTCCTCCGTCCTCCCTTCACACTCTGTCTTCTCTATCTCCTCAAGCGTTGCACGCAGGGCACAGAATTTATTTTTCCAGATAGAGCTTTCTTGAAATTCCAACAGCTCCATTTCCAGGTTCCCATAATCTAACCAGCGTAAGCAGGAAAGATCAAGCTCTTCAAATCGGGCTTTGTCTGGAGAAGTAAGAAAACACAGGGTCGTCTCCATCTTACGGAACTGTAAAAATCTGTTACCAAGGTTCTCCTCTGCAGCTGCTACCACCCTAGCAAATTCCTTGCAGATTTCCTGATGGCTTGAAGGACTGTCAGCACATGTGGTAGAATTTCCTAAATGCATTTTTAGATGTGGAAAATATTTCAGCTGCCCGCTGTTAAGGTCTCTTTCAAACACCTGCAGTTTTCTCGCAAATGTTTTGATGTCACAAAACATCCTCTCCGCTGTTTTTCCTACACTTTGCAGTTTTTTGTTCAGCACACTGAAGTGTACTGTAAAATCCGTGAAAAACACGAGGTGGTTAAGCCAGGCCGGGTCAGTGAGCTGGGGATAGTCCTGCCCGTTTTCATGCATAAACTGCCTGATTTCATCCAAGCAGGCTACAAATCTCTCCAGGACTCGTCCTCTGCTCAGCCACCGGACATTGCTACACATACGTAAACCACCGTACTGTGCCTGAACCTCATCCAGGAGGGCTCGAAACTGTCCAAAATTAAGAGCATGCGCCATGATGTAATTCACCATCTTGGTGACATCTCTGAGGATATCATCTAACTTTCTGCTGCTTCCCCCGGCACACAGGGCTTCCTGATGTACAACACAATGAAACGGAATGACCGGATGTTTTGCTTCTTTAACAAAGAATTGTATGAAACCGGACGTTGCCCCCACCACATAAGGCGCACCGTCACTAGTGACTGAAACCACTTTTTCTGGTCTTAGGCCTTGTGACAAAAAAGCCTCCATCACAGCATTGTAGACATCGATCCCCTGCGTTCTTCCAGGCAAAGACACCAGCTTCACCAGCTCCTCTCTCATGATGTCACCAACAGCGTAACGCAAAATCACCGCCAGCCTCGCGTGACTATTTCTATCTGTGCTTTCATACAAGCACATGGAGTAGCAGGCTGCCTTCTGTAAGTCAGTGGGGAGCCTGGCATCACTTGCCAGGCACTGGACCCGATCCTTAATAGCGTTTCTGCTAAGCGGCATCTCAGAGATGCGTTGCATGATTTTGTCCTTGTTTGGAAAATCATGAAAAAGAGAATTGCTCCCTGCCAACATGGCCATTTTGATAAAGTCCCCATCGGAGAAAGGCTTGCCGTGTTTCGCTATGCACAGTGAAATTTGGAAGCTGGCAGCCGTCAGATACTGGGAATGGTATCTCTTCAGTTTCCCTTCCAGAAACTCTTTCCTTTCAGTTTCACCAAGTTTGGCCACACTTTTGTGGTTGGTGTCAAAGTGCCGTCTGACGCTCGACGTGCGACACACAACGCTTACGTTACACAGAATGCAGAGCGCCTTCCCGTCGCGCTCAATGACGCCGAATGACTCTGTCCAGGACTCTTGGAACGGTCTTCCACTGTCTGCTCTCAGCTTTGCTTTTTTTGGTGTAGTCATGTTGGGGGTTCAAAGCTCGGAGTCTACAAAAACACACAAAAAAATTTTTAATGAATTACCCAATACAAATTAGCCCTATACTAAAAATAACTAACACTAGCAGTTAACCCTAGAGAACTGCATATTCCAACAATCTAGGGCCGCGATTCTCTACAGAATTCCTCTTGAATTTGCACACCACTAGCGCGAGGGGGCGATGTTCCACCGACCAGCAGCTTTGGGCCGGCTATGAAAAAGCCATCCGAAAGAATTTCCTACCTTCTGGGACTTCTAAAATCACAACCAGTCCAAGCAAATATATATCCTTCCTCTTGATTTCATAAATTCTCCACAAACAACAAAATAGGACGGTTCAGATTCCAGTATGCCGGGGGGCGGTCAGCACAACATTAAGAGAACCTCAGTCTCTTTAATTAGAACATCTCTTTGCTAAGTCTTAGAAATTAAATTTCAATTTTTCATAGGAAAAATCAAAGCTAAAATCTTGCCTTAATAAAAATGAATATATTAAAACTCACAGCCGGTCCAATCCAATACATATATAAATCCTCGGCAGCGCACTGACTGCCCAAGCAAAAGATCCGAAGAGTCGCGGATCCTGACGTCATCGCCTGGCGCAGCTACACTCTTAAGAGCATGCGCAGTCCGCCTATATGTGCTGTTAGCTGTTGCTCCACCCCTGGAGTGATGCTGAGGAGTCTTGGCTCCTGTGCAGAGCCTGCTGCGGCACGAGTGCCATAGGTTTACCACTATTCTTAGGTACATGGCTTGCGATCTCCTTGACACAGCTGCTGGGGAGAAGAGACCTGGGGTGGGAATTAAGCATCCGGAAATAGTAACACACCCACCTATGACATCAGAGCGCCTACAACTCCCAACGTGTCACGCGCGTCCAGCGCCCTTAGGGCCGCAGAGGAACAGGCGGAGCTAGCCGCGATTCCTCCTGGGAAATGGAGTCTCGTTGCGGAGAGGCGGGGCTGTGAATCTGTAGGCGGACTCGGAGCCAATGAATCAGCCACCTCTTTGAATGCAGGAGGAAACAACCAATAAGATCGCGATTTCTGAGAGGGTGGGACTTCCGGCAGTGAATCGTGGTGAGCGGCTGCGCTAAGTGAAGGACTTCCTTTTTGTGGGTGGCGGCAATCGAGGAGGCACCGCCATGAAGGCTTCGGGCACAGTAAGGCGCTTGCAGCGGGGCCGGGGACCGGGCGGCGCGGCGCGGGCCCCATCGGGAGCCCGCGGAGGCGT